AAAAGAGGCCCCTGGGAAGTCCCATAGGAGTGGAGCCACCCACCTATCAGGTATAGATCCTTTAGGTTGCTTTCTCCCACCCATACCTACAGTAGCACGCCCCTTGTAGAAGAGACTTTGGACCAGGTAGTCCCATTCTCGGCCCCTGCTCTGCTCAGTAACCAACTGTCTCCAAGCTAGGCTTTTTGGGCTTTAGGCTCCCTATCTGTGAAGTGGGCAGACAGGCGGGTCCCTGAGCTGCCCTGGCTTCCTCACTCCGGCACCTGGACAGGGAAAGACTGGCCAGAGCTGGTGACCTCTCCTGCTTTCATCCTAGCAACCAAGCCTAGAGGAGAGGGCAGCATCTGTGCTACAGGAGCCTTCAGAGTCCACTACCTCCTGGCCATAGAGCCCTGGGCACTATTCACCATCCTCAAAGGACTTACGGTGTGTGTCAGGAGGGAGAACAAGGGACCTTGCTGAAGGTCTGAGGTGTGTCTCAGCCATGGGAATGGGGACCAGCCAGGCCTGACAGCCTCAGTTGAAAGCGATGGGGAGACAGGCTGACCAGAGCTAGGGTCCAGGAACCATCAAAGGCAGCTATACACAAACCCTTTGACGGAGCCATTGACTGTGCTCCTCCTGGCAGGCAGCCAAAGGCATTCTCACGCTAGCCTCTGAGGGCTGATGATGCGGCCTGAATGTCCAGCACTGTCAGAGGACAGGGGAAGATGCAGCGAGGAACAGACCCTGGTACACTTGGCTGCAGTTCAAGCAGGTGATTAGATATGTCCAAAGCCTTGTAAATGAATCCCACAACATGCCTTAATACATCCCAAAATGTTGGGCGCTTGCCAACCCACAGAGCCGGGGCGCCAGGGGTGGAAGTGTAAGACCGAACACTTGCTAGTAAGCTCAGTGGCCAGCACTACAAAATACAAAACCAAAGGCCATCAGCCAGCTTGAAGGGGCTCCCGCAGGCCAGATCTGGAACAAACTGAGCAACAAATTAATTAAACATGCCAGCCATAAATCAGTAGATGCATAGGAGTCCCTGTTAACAAACAGATGGACGTCCAGGAAAGGTAGCCCAGTGCCATACAGCGCAATGCTGAGTGACTTGGGGCCCTGGAAAGCTGTCACTCTGCAGTCACCATGAAGATGGATATAGCAAGGACCGTCTGTGGACCTCCAAGCTGTGGCAATGGGTAGGAACCGTTGATAAAGAGGCACTGCTTGCCTATACTTAAAACTGTGTCCCCATGGAGTTCTAGTTATTTGCAAATGAAGAAAGAGGGGGAAAAAAAACCAACAATACACCAAATAGCAGTTAATTATACAGTGGAGAAATCTAGCACCATACTGACAAGAGTGGTCACAACAACTTTCAAGGCTGACTGTCAACTGTGTGGCTGTGCACCTCCCAGGCGCACACCACCTGCGCAGGCTTGCAACTGAGCATCTGTGTCCCCACAGAACCATGGAGAGGAGGAAAGTAAGGCTCAAGACAAGGCTAGAAATTACCTTATGAGTTGGCTGGTACATTGTATTCATTCCTTTGTTTGTTCCTTTCTTTCTTTCTCTCTTTCTTTCCCTCCCTCCCTCCCTCCCCCCCTCCCTCTCTCTCTCTCTCTCTCTCTCTCTCTTTCCTTGGTGATTTTTGTTTTATTTTTGAGACAGGGTCTATCTGTATAGTCCTGGCTGTCCTGAAACTAGTTCTGTAGACCAGGCTGGCCTCGAACACACAGAGATCCTCCTGCCTCTGCTTCCTGGGTGCTGGGATTCAAGGTGTGTGCCACCACAGCCTGACATTCTTTTTTGTGCATATTTACTGTGGGAGGGTGTATACCCCACAGTGTGCTTGCAGAGGTCAGAACTTGTGAGCATCAGCTCTCTTCATCCCCAACGTGGGCTCCAGGAACTTCAGGTTCTCAGGTTGCAAGTCCTTTACCAGATGAACCATATCCCCGGCCACCTCATTTCAGACTGTGTACTAGGACTTAAATGAGGTCATTACTACCTATATTTTTGACAAAGTGCCTTGATTGTGTTTTGAGGGAGGCTCTATTGTCCTTGAATGAATTGAACAGGTGATAATTTGAAACCTGATTTCTACATTGTACACATTAGCATTTGGGACCCTGAGCTATGACAGGAAAGAGTCTGACTCCTGAGAAGCCCAGCTTGTACTTGACCATCCAGGACACTCCTACAGGCATATGACACAGGGGACATGGTGTAGGGAGTCCTGATGATGTCACATTTTGAGCCAGTATAGCCATGAAGGGCCATTGCCTTATCCAGGTCCTCATGGTCTACAAGTGGTGGGTGGATAGTCCTGCTTTAGGGACTCCTCAAGGGCACAAGTGGCCAGAGACAAAGTCTCATGTAGCCCAAGCTAGCCTCAAACTCCTTATGTAAGTGAAGATGGTCATGAATTTTCTGATTCTTCCGTGGCTACCTCCCAAGTGCTGAGATCACAGATGTGTGTCTCCACACCTGGTTTAGCCATTTCTAGGACTGAGCTCACAGCTTCATGGGAGCTAGGCACAGACTCTATCAACCGTGTTACATCATCTGCCTCTAAACTGGCTGTTTTCTTAATCACTGTACTGCGACGTATCACACGCCACACATTTCCTACATGGAAAGTGTACAGTTCAGTAGGCTTCAGCATGGTGTATTACTGATTTAAAACCTGTGCCACAGGGCCGGCAAGATGGCTCTGTGGGTAAAGGCACTTACCGCCAAGCCCAATCACCTGATGACAGTCTCGGAGAGCCACAGTGAAAAAAGAGACCAGTTTGAGATGGTTGTCCTCCACACGTGCTCTGTTGCACTCACACATACAAATATACTTATATACATATATACTCACACATATACATATACACTCACACATATGCATATATACGCACACATATACATATATATTCACACATATGCATATATACTCACACATATACATATATACTCACACATATACA